GATAACATTCCCCGCTATGCTGGGTGGAGTAGCGAAGTCACCATGCCCAGGGCAACGAGTAGAAATGATTTACGGTTCAGAGTGTGTCAGTAATACATGGCCCAAATCTTACTGAACTCCGTATTTATAAAATAAAAGTACTGGTATAGGTACGGATGCTTCCAGTGACGGGCATTTGAAATTTGAAATGATTATGATACTCAACTAGTTATTAACTAGTAAATTTCCTTTTCTACTAAAAAAATACTTGTTTACTTTACTGGAACGTCCGTGCTCTGCTGATTGCAGTTGAGGAGGTTTGATTCTAATACCACTATATACAATACAACGTGGAGGTGCAGAACCTACCATCTGATGTGGATTGAACAGAAATTTAACCATCAATGTGTCTGGTATTTAGATGGACTTTAGATTATGTACGGAGAATTGAATTATATATCCGTGTTTAGATGCCAATGTACCGAATCCCATTACCAACTACATCAACTTCCATGCAACACAAAAATCCCATTTTCCACTTACTACGTTGCCATGGAAATTGAAAGTTCCCATTGTGGCGTTCTAGTTAAATACAATAATGTGTGTTGCGAATTGAATTTGTTAATTCAATTCAATTCAATTCAATTCAATTCAACTCCACCGTTTGTTTTGCGTTATATCTAAAATACATTCTATCACGTGACATCCTGTGATCACACACATACTAAGGCCTGTGATGACTAGACCGGTAGCGACCGTCTCAAAAGTGTTGATTGCGTCGTTGCAAGAATTGATTGTTCTTTTGTTTGCTGGATAATTAATTTGTATTTCTGTGTAGCCAGTCACGTGGCGACTGAGATGTCGGCTCATCGCGTGAATTGCTTTTGTTAATTATTGTTATAGAACAAAAAATACATGTAATTACCAAAATGAACATAATGTAACAAACACACATAAATGCTAGATCACAGAGCTGTATATGGTGTGTTCAGTTTTTCTTGTTGTTTTACTGAAAAGAACATTTTTTACTTCATTTCCAACAATTGAGAGATTATTACACATGTGTGTGTATGGTTATTTTATAGGCAATACGTGTAGGCCTTTGTCAAAAACAAAAAACAAAAAAAAACAAGCTATCATGTGACCACGGTATTTGAGTCGCTGAATATCTGTCTCCGCGACAGAATTAATTATTCAGATCACGTGGACGTGGCAACTGGTTTATTGATAGCGTTTTTGAAATCGTAATATCGTCATTTTAAGTGTTAAATGATTCTCACTGGAAGGAGGGTATTTATTACACCATTTTGGGCGAGATATTTAAAGGACTGTTCTGTTTTGAACCAATTTTCAATAGAAATTGCAGTATACTACTGCGAATGCCCGCATTACCTGCCAAAAAATTGAACAGCTGTGATTTGAGTGCACCCGGGTACGAGCACCGATCACAGTAAACTTGGCGATCCGGTGACTTCGTGACCCATTACATTTGAGGAGGTCATAAACACGATGTTGTTACTGAAATCGATAATATTAAGGACATCCAGGTATCGTGTTTCTTATTTTTTATGAGAAAATAAACGGAACAGACAAGGAGAGTGAGTAAAATAAATTTAAATATCTTACTGACGGTACAAAAGATGTACGAGTGTTCGGTATTAAAAGAGTAACGTTATGTTCATGTTACAAAGCATACACAGCAGAAATTGTTGTTGTGTGCCGGCCATGCAGGTGATGTACAACGTACGTATTGACTATTGTCGCTGAGAAACAAACAAAACCCGATTAAATTTAGTGGGTTTGATTTGATCTTGGTCGAGGTACGAGGTCAAAGCCGGAAAGGGAGAGTGAGAGAATGGATGTTCAATTATTGAGAGCTCTCACTGACAGTCGTGCTACAAAAAGTGAACAGTCGATTTCAATATAGAGAAATTAAAACGCATGTGAAAATTAGTGACCGAAATGACCCCATGCCGGACATTAGTTGTCACCTGGGTTTCATTCTCCACGAGATGGGCAGATTGGTGCAGTATATGACAGATGAAGAAATGAGCATGGGGTCTCTGACAATTTAAATTATTTCCACTCATTATTGTAACAAGACTCAAAAACATCGAGATTTGTTTTCTTTTTCGAAATTAACAAGTCGTGACTGACAGGTCAATAGAGCTAGGGGGTCATGCCCAGTTTCCGAGGAGGTATGCGTTTATTATGGTCAAGATCTACACAAAAACACCACGGATGGAGATTGAATGCGCGCGTGTCACCGGTTGTTATTGAGTTGAATTAACTCAGAAAAAGGTTTCGGGCTGAAAACAAGAATGCACTAGTGAAAGTGACATGAAACATACACGATATGGGGAACTAGGTATATTTGATGTTCTAAAAACGCACGACTATTCAGAAAAGTCAATATTGTGCTTCACGTCGCCAAACGGAGTACACCACCCAAATTGATCTATACAACCGTGACGGTGATACGAATTACTATAGAAACGACAATTGCTGCCCTGAACTGCGTTGGCTGCTCACCGTATCAGATAGTATCGTTGTTGTCACGGTGGTAGCTATGAAATAAAATATAATAAAGCCCAGCTGGCAATACGTACCGGAATCCGAGTCCCAACCACGGTAACTCCTCTGCTGTGTCTTCCGTGTCGGAGACGGGTTTCTTACTACAAACTTCAACATAGTTCCGAAAAGCTGCTATTCGGAGCACCGAGTAACTCTCACTATACGATCTCGAGTGACGACATAGACCGCCCACACTGGTTGATTACGTCGATGGAGCTCCCTTCCAACACTCTTTACGTGCCAGCATGCGAAGGTATGATGGAAATCCGTCTAAATCTCCCCCGTGTTGCTGTATCCCATACTGTGATGTCGACAGTTGCTTTTATGTGATGATCAATGCGTACTTGACAGTCTGTTGGAGTCTATTAAAAAGCCACTATTGTGAATCAGTAGTTCTGTACACACGGCGCGGCCCGCAACAATAACCCCCGAATGCGAGATGTTGACACACTTTATACGTGCATTTGTCAATGTAACAACTTGATGCCAACGACCAGGCCTCCATAAAGCAGCGTAACCCTACCCCTTATGAGTTCTGAGTCCCAGTCCATTCAGTCCATGCGTGGTCGCTGGACATCAGTGTTTACGATATACCCGAACAGTATGAACTGTGCCGTAGTCCCCGCCCACTTTTCCAACCAACCAAACGATACTATGTGAACCGGCAAATGGTTCTTTAATTTGATTGGAGGATCTACGATAATCCAGCACAGCTGTTGACAAGGGCGAACAATACGATATATTTTTTTAAAAACCTTATAATTCAGTCAAAAGCAGGATAAATTGTACTTATAATGACACACATTGTAATAATATATGAAATGAGTTCATCTAACAAATAAATATGCAATATTTCTTGTTTCATTTTTAATATGGAACACGTATGTTTTTATTATTTTCGTATTAACTGAAATACACTACGATCACGCGAATTCGCGACACCAGTCGAAATTTTACCCTGGGGGAACATTGATTTGTTTTGAAGTGTCCGTTAATACCTGTGAGAAAAGTCCAAACCCCACGAGACCTTTCTTAGACAAAGGTCAAAACAATGGATGACCGATAAAACGTTATAAACAAACCCTGTTAAATACCTGTCCGCCACTGTGGATCCGTGGAAACCATACGAATTGACATCGCTCGTCAAGCGAAGGCAAGTATGGACACGATATGCTGAGTGTGAGTTTTCCCAAGTTGTTAGTAGATTATCAGTCAATTCGAGCCTGGGTGCTAAAAGTTGGATCCATGCACCAAATGATAAATCATTGCACCGTGACATGCATCACTCGTTGACGTTACATCATCATAGATATTCATAGTGTAACCGCTCCAACACCGTGACGGCCTTTTCTAAAACCGGAGAATATTTGAAAATTGCCATAATAGTGTAAATACTACAGGCGAAACATTTTTTTAAAAAAATATGAATATATGTATCCACTGCTTACTCGTGATTGCTAACGCATGGGCTCACCATTATATATAATATTTATATTAATAATATTTATAATATGCATATTTATAGAGTTGTTATGCAATATGTTTATTTCATTAAGAGCAGTTGTCATCGAAGTCGATTCGACGACGAACGAAATACGTGGACAGGATGTGATAACATCTTTAGTTGAGATAGTACGTCTTTTAGGGCAAATCAAATAATATTACGAGCTGTGAACTGGTCAGGCACGTGGCAGTTCAAGTATCTGACCACAAATCACATTCATTAGGACGAACTCGTTCGCACTGGAGGGCGTGATAACAATTTGTTAAAATCATCGCGATCGTTTGGCTCGTCGTTTTGCCATATTTCCTCTGTATCTTATGTCAGCCGCAAATAAAATCAAACCGAAACAAAACAAAACAGAGCTTAAAACATTGACCACATTGTAATCAAATTGGCGCATGAAACTGTGATATAATCTGTTGTAATAAGGATTCTTGAAATGTTTAAGCGTTTTAACACAAATCAGGATCCCGGATTTAGTGGAGTAGCGAAGTATCAAGTTAACTTACACTTGTATCGAGAAATGTTTGAATGCTAACAATAATTCAAACATTGTCTTGGTAAAAAAATAAATAAATAAAACATCAGTAAGCGACACTAATTCATATGGTTGGTTATTTACAACTATTTTATGTCCGTCTGTCGCTTGTTAAAAATATCATTATTGTACTAAGAAGGGTGGCATGCCACACATTGCCTCGGAATGGCTAGTATGAAACGCCATGACGTCATGCGATATAAGCATTAAAATAACTTCATTTGAACCGCATCAAATTATTCAAAATAAATTGATTACATCTTACATTTTCAATCCAATGCAATTACTGAAATTAATTAAACGTGAAGAATTATTTGTTTACACGCAAGGTCGGTGCTTCCTTTGATATGCTCGGCTCGTGCTGGAAAATTACACAATTTGAAGAAATTTTGAATTTGTGTATCATTTTTGCGTGTGAGACATTTACACACGAGAGGTCAAACGCGCGCCTGGGAATGGTATGTTATGGTGGTGATCCGTGTCCATCGTTCACCTGAAGATAAGGACTGAGACTGAGGTATCTACGTACTGCCCATCCCCTCCCAATCGTAGGTCTCTACTCACAGGGAACGTTGCGCTCATCACAAATAGATTGCCATCACATCATAGATAACAGACTTTCCATTCCAATCGAATCCGCCGATCCTCATAAAAAAGCAAAACTGTCGACATCGAATAATTTCAATAAATTAAACCCACAATTCGGTAACCCAAACGAAACACACGGTGAGAAAAAGGAAATTAAAAAAACCTTCTAAAAACCATTAGTTATAACCTGAACATATTCGCCAAATCAATCATTCAATTTTTTGAAGAGAAAAAACTATAAAGAAAATGTAGAGTTTTATTGTATTGATTAAATAACCATTGGCGATATTGTATGCTTAAACACGGGAATGAACAGGCGTAATTCTAGAACTGAAACACGTCAAAATGAACACAGTTCCGGTAACTGAGAATTAAGAATTAATGGGAGAAACTAGATATTATATACAGAATCATAGCCATTAACAAAAAGCTGTTCATACACTAGTCGTATATGACAATCGATTATGTGAACTGAAATGGAACATTTCTCTGTGAAAACAACGATACTGTTTCACCATTCTGTCAGAATTAGCTGCGTTCGTTTCATACTACATGTAGCTGATTTAAATTTACTACAGCCGTTTGTTTTCTTATCGATCTCGTTAAATCGAAATACGCAACATTATATAAATAACTAATGCTCGTTAAAAACAACATATTCGCTGGAGTATATATAAAACAGTATATTAAAATGCGAAATGTAGAACGCGCTTGTTTATTAAATTAATCCCGCATCCTTGTTCAGTAAGCGTTTGAACTGCATGTTTGAAAGACTCTGTCAAGGTATGTCAGATTTAGTCGAGTGAATGCAACGTGCGCATAATTATTCATAACACCAATATGTTATATTACATTCTGTGGGTAAAGTTAAATTATTTCATGATGTGTAATTTGAGGCGCGTGTCAGGACAGGTATAGCTCCATTGGTTTATTGAATTCATGCACAGTGACGTCGATTGGAAATCAAACCTTTTTCTCTGTTCTTAAATGGTCTAAAGATTGGGTTATAAGGTCATTAATTTATTTCACTTTGTTATTCGCCGAAACCAGTAAGAAAAGTTGTCCATTAATTGTCTTGGCTAGTGTCTGTGGTCATCGCCCGGGCGCCTCGGTGACCACGATGCCAAATACAGGGATAAGTGCGGGTATAAATAAAATGAATCATGAGGGTGGACATTTTTGCTGAAATTGTATTTACTTTTACTGACTAGGAATTAAATACAATAAATTCATTCAACTTCAACCGTGCTTAAAGTTTCCATATCATAGATGGGAATAATCTTTTCGATTTTGTCAACATTTTATAAGCATATAGATACTTGAACACTCACAGAACCATATCGCCTCCCGGTAAGTACTAGATTTATGGCTCGTGCCTGGAAATGTTCGTGAATCTCCTCCGGCAATGAGCCGATGACTGGTGCGATAGAGAGTGCTTTATGGCCCACATCTACTCATAAAAACAATATATACCACCTCGCCAACTGATGCTCATAAAATCCGACTCGCAGAAATATCAGTTGAACATGATATACATGTATAACTCGCCTTGACAAGTCTAGAAATATGGCTTTTCTTCACGTGGTCTTGGGGTGTACGAGTATGTTCTCTTATAACTAACTACACACGAAGTTTGTGAACATATAAATGATTACTTCATACAATGACCTTACCAAGATCATACAACTGTTGTCCATTTTAACGTTATTAACTCAACGCATGGGGGGGGGGGGTATTCTAATGGGCGTTTGGTATTGCATGATTGTTGTACTGTACGAAATACGACTTATTTAGTTATGCCCAGTCTTCCAAGATAGTATTCTTTTGACTTCCACTGGGAAATTCAGAGTTATTATTGAAAAAAAAAATATTAATCTAATTAATTTCAAATTATACAAAGATGCTCTTATAAAACAAAAACGAATTATTTTTATTCAAGATGAATTTGCGATTTATACGTCTAGAATTATATATTTTCATGAATTGCATATTTTCATGGACTGGGTATTTTTTGTTTTGTTTTCCTCCAACGCGGATTTTAACATTCGATGCACGTCGTCTCCCTTTAAAGTGGCCCATATATGGCAGCCGCGACCAAATACAAAAACGTGTAGTTATAATGAAACGCTACAAATACTACATACTAGTGTGGGAAAACACTGGAAATGTCGATATATGGGCCTGGGGGTCAAGGAGTTGTGTATATATATCGGTTCAGCGTACTTGTAAAATAAGAAAAGATACGGCTGAACAACAAAAACAAACTTTATAATACATCTAGATGAGGAGTGCCAGGGGCAACATGCCCACTGTGTAAGAGTTACATTCTTTGAGCAATATGCGTTAAAGAGCGTGGGTCGTAAATTTTACATACGTCGAACGGATTTCATTGAAGGTTTCTATGTTATGAAAAGACGTCATGATCTTACATGTACTCTCTGTTAGTGGCACGAGTGTTTTAAATCACTCGGCTAGTCATTGGTCGTTCTCACCGTTAGATATATAACGGTTCACTCGTCCGAGAGCTGGACTGGGCCAAGAGATTAACATACATACTGAAAAATGCAGTTTTATATACATCTTACGATTTTCCCCTAAATAGGTGAACATGATGTCATACGACAGTCATACTCGATACCGTTATTGGCGTTCAATGTGGTCTCGTACATAATTAGTGGTCTGGATTTAAACACTCAC